GATTTGGTTTTCAAATATTTGATAACTTTCTCAAATTCCAGGGGCCTGGCAGTCACCCTGCTGAATCCCGAAGTCGGTGGCTTCATCTCAAAATCGGTGGATCGGTAGTTTGACCCAAAGTCGGTGATCTACCGATTTTTTCTGTAGGGTTGGCAGGTATGTCATTGCTTTCCCCCCCTTTTCTCTTGTTGCCAGAGTGCTGCAAAAGATTCAAAGCGATCACGCCACAGGGGTGGTAGTGGCTCCAAACTGGCCAAATCAGGGGTTCTACCCAGTACTGATGGGGATGTTGATAGATCTGTGCTGATCTCAGCCAGAAGCAACCTGCTGCGCCTGCCATCGCCACCGAACCAAAAACACAGACTTTACAAGTCACTGAAAATTCTCATTTGCAAAGTGTCAGGCGATAATATGAAGGTCAAGGCCTTTCACAGAGCGCAACAGACGTTATCATGTCTTCGTGGTGACCACAGACACAAAAGACTTATGCCACCTCCATCAACAAATGGCACAAGTTCAACGCTGAAAGGAACGAAGACCCATCATCGGCTTCTGTAGCCACAGCTATAAACTTCTTGGCCGACCTGTACCAACAAGGAGCCTCTTACTCAGCACTCTACATTGCGAGATCTGCCCTCTCCTGTGTACTAGACACCTCACAGAGTGTTACTTTCAGGAGCCTGCCCTCTGTGCGAAGACTTATGAAAGGGTTCTATGAACTCAGACCCTCAATTCCAACAAAGTCAAAAATTTGTACTTGGAATGTTGATAAAGTGCTAGAGACGTTGGAAATTTGGTGGCCATTACCTGCCCTTAGTCTGAAAGACGTGACCTTAAAAGTCTGTATGCTTCTTGCACTTCTCACAGGCCAACGTTGCCAAACATTGCATGCTTTAGACATTAATCATATGCAATTAAAAGAAAAAAGCTGTACTTTCTTCATCTCAGATTTGTTGAAACATTCACGAAGAGGGTCACATCAAGCCCCAATTGAGCTGGTGGCCTTTTCTCCAAAACAGGAGTTATGCATAGTGAACCACATTCATGCATATCTTGACCGCACTTCTACGCTAAGAGGTACAGAGAGTAAATTTTTCATATGCTTGCAAAAACCACATAAACGTGTGAGTAAGGATACAATTGCACATTGGATAAAAACAGTGCTAGAAATGGCAGGCATTGATCCTACTGTATACAGTGCCCATAGTACTCGTGCAGCCAGAACAAGCCACGCCTCTGGCATTGGTGTGCCCACCACTGCTATCATGGAAGCAGCTGGTTGGTCAATAGAAAGCACATTTACCAAATTTTATAAGAAGACTGCAAATGCCAATTTTGGTCAGTCAATTATTTCAAAGCATCATAGCTGTACACTTTTCTTCACTTACTATACATATATATATATATATCTATATATATATATATATATCTATATCTATATATATATATATCTATATATATATATATCTATATATATATATATATATCTATCTATATATATATATATATATATATATATATAATATATCATCATGGATTTGATGCACGATACAATTGTTGCATGATATTACTATTTGCATGAGTCTATGTACTCTTTTATTTGTACAAAATATATTAAACTTCAACCTTCCATCTACACAAGAGCTTATTCATGGTTGTTGCTCTGAAATCTCAAGTTTCACCGTAGAGCCTGACGGCTGGTGAGATAAAATTTGAGAAACAAGCGAGGCTTACCTTGGTAAGGTGATGTTTGTTTCCAATTTTGTGGAAACAGTCGTCAGGAACGGAGGTGTAACTTGCCCTCCCTTCCCTCCCTTGTTTTCATATACATTACATTCCTATCGTGAATTGAAAATAAAACAAAAACAACCACTCATAAGCTCGCTCTAAAGTCTGACTAGCGGCCGGTACCGCGGTTCTCAAGTTACACCTCCGTTCCTGATGACTGTTTCCACAAAATTGGAAACAATCATCACCTTACCAAGGTAAGCCTCGCTTGTTTCTCTAATTAGTGCCTTATTATTGTCGGATTAAAAACAAAATTTACATGGTGTGTTCCAAAGAAATTGTCTAAAGGCTGGCAAAATTTCTTTACTCTACCATGATTCCTTCATACCCAGACCAAAGACTTATTGAACTCCCCTCGTACATACAGATATACAGAGACATTTTGTTACATTGGACTTTTAAAAAAAAGAAAAATTTTTTTAAACAGGCACCGGTACTTACTCAATGGACACGTTGTACGGGTTAGATGTCTCATTGTTGGCCTTGATATTGGGAAAAGCCAGTATAATTCTGAAAAAGGAAAAGAAAAACATCTCAAAATATTTTAAGGAATAAGTACATTTTACTTTTAGTCATTAGCATTTGTACCATAAGAAAAATCAAGGACACTTGTTTTACAGTAAAAACAGCAAGCAATACAATTTACAAGTTGCTAAAACATAGTAAAACTCAATCTATTACACAACCAACAAAAACTTCAAAAATTTCCTTGAAATGCCAATTCTCAAATTACTCAAGAAGTCAAGAATGCGATTGCTATTTGAAAATATCTTCTGATACAATTATCAACCCCATACAAAGCCTATTAGTTTATGTTAAAAGGAAAAAAGTTGAATATTACACTCATACACCTAGTAAGGCTCCATGACCAACCTTGCAGTGCCATTAAATTGGACTGTCTGATTCGCAGCATTTTCATCTGGGACAAAATCAAAGTCGAGAACACAATCACCGCTGGAGCTAGTATTTTTGACACAGATGGAAATAGTTCGCATGAAGATGTACACATTGCCGTCACTGGCATTCATGAAGGTTCCATTTTTGTTGACCACGTCAGCCTCAAGCAAGTGTCGGCCACTGTGGACTTCACCTTCTTCTACCTGTAATGAAAAAAAAAGGAGGTAGTTAAAAACAGGCAAACTTACAGACATTACTGAATTGTATCCCACCCTGACTTGTCGATGCCATAAACCACCAGTGTATAAGACAGGACAGTGAATATCTTTTCTAAAAAAATCTAAATGCATCAAAGATTTCAAAAGTTTGGGAAATACCCGAAAAAGTGCCAAACCTAAAGAAGTCAGGGACACACGTTATCCGGGGAAAAAAAAGGAAGATGAAACAAAGTCTCACAATGAACAGAGACAGACAGCAGCGTTCAGATACTGAACTGTCATCATAGCATGGGTCTCAACTCAGAATTTTTAAAAAGGAGGAACTTTCCGCGTGATCACAACAGAAGCTCATTTTGGCGAGACACCCACTATTATTATACTGTTGGACCCTAGAATGTTGAAATAAAAACCATCAATTCATCAAAGCAAGGTTATTTCATACCAGTTTGAGGGTTTGGAAGATAATTTCAAGTAAGAGTCACTTACCAAATATTTACAATCTTGATTACCTACAGAAAGCGGAGGCCCACTGTGGTCTTGTGCGACTTATTTATATTTTACCTTCATAATATTTGCCGGCATATAATTATAAACTATATAAAAATGAATCTTGTTTTGAGCCTGGGAAAAGGCCTAGAACCAGAATATCGACTGTTATGAACCAGTCTGGGTATAATGATTCATATAATAAACGTGAAAGACAAAATTAATGCTCAAACTCAAAGTAGAGTAATAACTTGAATAGCTCGAGTAAACCTATTCAGTGTGAGATGTGTAAGAACTGTGGGAGGGCAAGATGCAGTGACACTGAAAATATGCGAATCTTGAACAAAAAGCTAAAATATAGAGACATAATTTACTCTAACCCATCCAATGAAACGTGAACACTTAGGCCCTTGCCCTAAGTTCATTAACACGCTTACAAGTAGTTATGGCGGATCCCGATTATACACAAGGCATGCACTAACGCGCACTTTACTTTGCAGTGAGCTGTAGTAGTAATCAAAATTCTAAATATTAAAATTTGCTTCCAATTTCTTTTCTTTTTTTGTCTGCTGGTGTTGCGTCCAGCCCTCCCCCCATCCCCGAGTGTATCTTTAAAAAAAAAAAATCAATAATCTCCCCCCATTCCTGAGTCCTGTACTTCACAGCGCTCAGAACATGAGCAGGTTCACTGACCGGTCACAATGACGAGCCCGACAAGACGCTTGTATAACTTTCTTTTCTTTTTTTTTGCCCCCACAAGCGACAGCACAGAGACGAACATTATTTTCATGGCGACACCACGTTTGTAATGCAGAACCTGCATGTTACAAATGTTGCGTGTATTTACACTTTTACAGACAAATTTCTGAGATCTTGATTTTCCGGTCGAGCCTCGGTGTCACATACAATTCCACTTGCCGTCATAGCCACCTGTTCGCGTGAAACTTACTCTCAGACCGGGAAAAGCCGAATTAATATCACAATCGCGACCGACAAAAATGAACTTAAAGACGTTATCGGATTTGGTTTTCAAATAATATTCGAGAACTTTTATGTATTTTCCCGCGTTTCAGCGATTTTTTTCAAATTCCTGAGGCCTGGCAGTCACTCTGCTTCCAGCAACTCTCTTTCTGATTGACCCGCTGTCGCGGTAGCAGAGTTTAGCGGAGGAAATGGCGGTAGCGGAAATCCGCTAAATAGCGGAATATTGAGACCCATGCATAGGCAGAGTGTCGGTCTATATTTTATGTCTACTGCTGATGGCATGTTTGTGATAACAAAGTCAATGTGTGCCAGAAGATGCCAGTCACAGTGAGTGCAAGGAAATTATTTCTTCTGCACTCTGTTGCATTATCTTACATCACTTCAAATTTTATTTGATAGCTTGCCTTAATTGCCTACTCCGACCATCAAGTCCTGATCACATGCAGGCTTGCTGTTAATATGAGCTCAAGTGCAAGAAGTGGTCCACAACTTCCTAGTTTTTATTTCCAATTGTGACATCTTGCAGTTTTATCGCTTCTCCTCCCTTTCTTTTCTCACTGTTTGTCAAATCAAATCTGCCACTTTCAGATGAAAAGATACATCCCCTGTAGCACCTACTTTTTTATATGTGGGTAAGAGAAGTACTAGAAAGACAAGCTCAATGACTGCATTACTTCAAATAATAAGAAATATCAACTATGCACAGACTCTAAGCATGAGCTACATATCAATTTATCGCTTGAAAAGTTGATAATTTTGTGGAATTATAATGCTTGCTAATAAATGTAAACAATTTCCTTAAAGGCTAGAAGAAATTTGGAGTACATAGAATTATTTTGAAAGGAGGCTTGTAACACTTACACAAACATTTGCATGAAACAGAAGAAAAAAAATTAAGAAAAACCACGCTGAGGTCAGCAACATGTGTTGACAATAAGTAAAACAATACAGAAGCCATGTGTGGCAACGGTAAGTTTTAGTTTTGTTTTAGTAGAGGTTTTACGGCGCTCGCAACTGGATAAGGTCATATGAGCACCAAGGGGTGGATGTCAACAGAGAAGTCCTTACAGGAAATCAGACTTACTCTGCTCACCCCTCTAGCTTCAAGAGCATAAAGTCTGCTTCGACAAAGAGTGTGACAAACATACAAAAGTAGAGGAAAATGACAAGAGTAAGGATTAGGAAAGAAAAAGCAGCAATTCCCTGTTGCAGATCAGGCACAATTATGAGCGTGACATTGATGAATCAGCTCATTTACAATTCTACCGTGCATGAACAAGAAATGTCCCCCCTTTGGGAATGGCCTAAAGGCACTTCAGTCAGTAGCACCGCCCCGGAGGGTGGCCACAGTAAGTGGGAGGTGGTGACCAAACAAAATGACCAATGAGAGCACCCCAGATGTAGGGAAGGAACGTGTTAGTTCTGTTAAGAACAAAGAGATCCATCAATGATCATACAGTATTACTCTTGAACAACATCACAACATCTCCCAATACCCCAGGTATTTCTTCTTTCCAAAAGCCCATTTATGTCCATGTCAAACTCAAAAGACAGACAATGAGGAAATGCACTCATACCGACTTACCATTCCTTTACTAGCTGCTTTCCCTGTGAACAAAGCTGTATACTTGATGGCTTTTTTCTTGAGTCGATCACATACAGCTCCAATCATGTCATCTGTGTTTTAAAAGAATAAAATAAAATAAAATTAGTAAATCATTACCCAGCTTTTGTACGATTATACAAAAAGAATACCTGAAAAGACTGCTGATGAATCATTATGAGGCAAAAAGATGTAAACACATGCTTTCTTTATTCACTGGATATGAACTATTGTTGTAAAGACACACACAACAATTACAAACTGCCATATATAGCCAGAGATGGACTCAGTCAGCACTAACAAAGTCAGTGTCAACCATTGCCACAAGGCTATCTTTCCTATTATTTCAATAAGTTGATCATTCCTCTCATCTTGAAAAAATTACATACTTTTCTAGCAAAATCATTATAAACCCACAAAACTACCAACTTTTAAATATCATGAACCCAAATTGTTTTGCAAATTGCACAATTTAAGCTCACCATTTCCAGAACTTCCACATACTCACCATTTTTAGCAATAGCAGCTTCCTGGTCGACATTTCCTGCGGTCGCGGGTAAATGTACAAGCAGTAAGAAAGGCTGGTCTTGTGACACACCCAGTGCATCTAACTCATCCAAGGAGCTGATTGAGTGCATGGCACCAGGATAGTTAGATTTGAGTTGATCTACAGCTTTTGAGGCCCCAGACACCTGAGGTAGCTCCAGGGAGAAATTATCGTCCATCAAGTTCTGTAAACAGTGACGTAAAGAAGAAAAGATATCAATCTGCACCACGAAATGAAACTGAAAATAGCATGTATATTGAGTTCTCACAACAATATATACATAAAAGCACACACTATAAACAATTACCTGGTTACCATCTTGACGAAGAAGCGTGTAAAATTTCCATCGAGACTTTCTGCCCATATCCTTCCCCAGAACACGTCGACCAAAACAGCAGATAAAAATTGATTGTGTCAGAAACAATATCATCTGTCAAAGTAGTACCTTGGTTAACTATACATAGAGCTTTGGCATTTGTGTATCTACAAAAATTGTAGAACGACAAATGTTAACAGAAATCACTTTCACTTTCCTTCCCAACAAGCTGAGTATAAAAAAAATGTTCACAGTACCTTAATGTTTTTGAAAGCCCCTCCAGTGCTGTCCACAGAATAGACATCAGCATACTTGGTGAAATCATCCATGTGCAGCTGTGAAAAGGAGAATTTTGTTTGTTTTAGTAGAGGATTTACGGCACTTGTAGCTGCATTCGGTCATATGAGTGCCAAGGGGTGGATGTCGACAGAGAAATCCTTACAGGGAATCAGGCTTACTCTCCTCACCTCTCTAGCTTCAACAGCACAAAGTCTGCTTTGACTATCAAGGCACCCCAGAAACAGCGGGTCACAAGAGTGTGACAAACATACAAAAGAAGTATAGGAAAAATGACAATAGTAAGGATTAGGAAAGAAAAAGCAGCAGTTCCCTGTTGCAGTTGAGCACAGTTATGAGCATGACATTTATGAATCAGCCCATTTACAATTACAATTTTACTGTGCATAAAAACATGGTTAATGCCCCCCCCCCCCCCACCCCCGGGAATGACCTAAAAACACTTCAGTTAGTAGCACCGCCCGGGGGGGGTGAAAAGGAGAATTAGTCAAGGTAAAGGTAACATATATACACGTCAACACATTAGGTCACTCAGCACTGGAGATAAGAAAGATAAAAAGAAATAACAGCCAGAACTATCTGAACAAAAAATTCTTTTAAAAAATAAGAAAATTACAAGTCACGAAGGGTCTTCAACTAACCATAGGTCATAAGATAAAACATGCAGCAATTTAAAAAAAATTACAACAGCAGGCCTACATATAGAAACATTCCGATGAAAAATCAGATCCATAAGAGGGAGGAGATAGTGGTCCTCTAAAACCTGAGAGTTTGTTTGTTTTTTGTAAGTGTTTTACAGCGCTCGCAACTGCATAAGGTCATATGAGCGCGCGGGACACACTAAACTTTTTCAGTTGGTAGGAAATTTTGAATTTTGCCCGGGTGGCGGCCGAAGCCTACTCTTATCGATTTTAGACCACCAAGGGATCTTTAACGTGCACAGCTTGCACACGGGACCTCCGAGATTTTTCGCCCTTGTCCGAGAAGGCTAGGTGTAGAACTTTCCTACCAAAAGATCAGGGGTGTGGCTGAAAGACAGCAGTAAGAAGAAGCCAATGAGTAGCAGTAGAAAGGCTGCAGAAAGAATCAGGAGCCCAGAGGAGGGGGCAAAGGAGGTGAAGGGGTGGGGGGTAGAAAGAGGAGACGAAAGCAGACGACAGAACATTGCTAGAAAGTAGGAAAGGAGGTGAAAGGAGACAAATTTAGAGAAGAAAATTTTTTGGTCGCTACCCGGGACCTTTGAATGAGAGGCGAACACCTTAACCTCTAGGCCACGAGAGCGCCCCCCCCCCCCCCCGAGGGTTTAAAATAACCACGAACTACAAAAATCAAACCACAAAATGACTCCACCCTTCTAATACACGAGAAAGTGACCTGTTTATTGTGGAATACAACTTTCATTTCCTCCTTAAAGGGAAAGGAGGCACAGATAAGAAAACTATGAGAACCAATAAATGTCCTAATGTAAAAAAATTCCATGAAATTAATTTAACAATGTATTACATTTTTTATGTCTTATATTTCTAAAACAACTGGACTAGATATATATCTTTATCCATAAAGTACTTTTTGTTGACATCACAAGTTTTATGTCAGGGTATTCAGTGAAAAATAAAAGTGTGACATCTTAAGATTGTGTTCTCAAGTCAAAATAAATCAATATTGCCACTGACCAAGTTCTGATTGCAAAGAACATCATGAGCCTTTACCCGGCAGTACACCAGCTTGAAAATGGGCAGTGCTTTTGTTTAAGTGACTTCTAATAACTAGATGGGAAAAAATGGACTATGTGTTGTTGTCATGAAGCAGAGGAAGTTGAGGCTTAAAGCACTAAATGTCATTTAGAGGCGAGTTTGGACAAAAGGCAATATTTCGCATTCTAAACAAGAAGATACCCATTCATTTTTTGACAAATTTCTGGCAAAGAGTTTGAGGATGTGCTAACGGACCTGAAAGTATGGGAAGGAACAGTAGCTGACCACAGAGGAAAAAGGGCATTAAAAAGAGGAAAACATTCCACCGCCCCTAAAACCAAAGATTGAATGAAGTGGAAAATCATCACCATAGAGTGACAAGCTTGAACAGCTGTGAAGGCCCAAATATATGTAAATATCACTTTAAATTGCCACACATCTAGTAAACCCCAAGCAATATGAACAGGATTATATTTCTATTAAGTAAGGTGAATGGAATATAATTCATGGAGAGAAAACGAGACTGATGAATGAATTTTAAAAAAACAACAAAAAACCCAAAACCCCACTCCTCTTGTCATAGAAGTGCTGCCTCACCGTGTCCTGCAGAAATACCACCGCTGAATGTGAAGACTTCTTCATCAAAGGTGTGAGAAAATTTTCATCAAAAGTTTTCGGCTGAAGTATGTCATGGCTGTTCACATCAGGAAGGCTGCTCATTGCCCTAAAATTGGAGGGGGGGGGGGGGGGGGAATTACCGGTATGCAAAGAGACAAGTCTTCTGTCAAATATATCAGTCTCTAGGATATACACTAAGACAAAAGTTTTAAATTTTAAGTGGTAAATCAAAAGCCAGCGCTTTTAAAAGAATCTTAGGTTAATTAATCTGAATCCATCTATCATCCAAGTATATGAAAGAGAGAGGGGGGGGGGGGTAAGAGACCTTTTACTACCTCATTTCTTATATTTGTATTTTGTTTTTTGAACGATAAATGATTTCATTATTTTCAAAATGAGTGGTCATTCTGAATGCATGAACAAATGAATGAATGAAAACAATGAAAAACAAGTAAAGTTGTATGCAAGTAATGCAAGTTTCTCTCTGTATTATCAAATAACCATAGCATGGAATGACTGGGCAGGCAAAATGACGTGGTGAGGGCATAATTGCCGTGCACCGTAAAAAACCCACCAAAAAACGATGCAGTCATGGCACCTTGCCGCACTGCGGGCAATCGAGAGGCATTACGATTCCACCTGCTCCCGGCACACAAATCAAGGGAGATCACTGCGATAGCATCCAAAGTGAGAAGAAATGGGTCAGTCATGTGACCACACACGCCTATTCATGTTTTATTGTTAGACGGTATTTGGGTCATCTCGACGGTGTTCGTCTTTCATTTTAGCCCCATTACGGTGTGGCTGGTTCTACCAAAGAATTTGTATGCGATCATGGTGAAACCGGCTGGGTAGATGACAGTGATGATTTGGGGGGTGGGGGGACTGCACAATCATGAGTGCTATGTTTTAATAATAATAATCAGGGTGTCCAGCAATATTTCGTGAAAAATTTTTTTACTACCCAGCAAATCAAGTCCCACACCAGCTCGAAAAAGTGAGTTAATTTGCGCCATCAATAACATATATTATTATTGCATACTATAAGGAACGAAAATAACACACAACAAAGTCCAGTCTACAAAATGGAGGATAGGCAGGCGATCGCAAGCTTGCTCGCCTCTAGACTTAGTTTTCGTTTTATTAAGGTTTTTACGGCGCTTGCAACTGCATAAGGTCATATGAGAAACAAGGAGTGGATGTCAACAGAGAAGTCCAAATGGGGAATCAAGCTTACTCTGCCCACTTCTCTAGCCTCAACAGCACAAGGCACCCCGGATATAGTAGTTCGCAATAGTGACAATCAAAAGAAGTAGAGGATAATGATGATAGTAAGGAAGAGGAAAGAAAAAGCAGCAGTTCCCCCTATGTTGTTCCGGCACAGTAATGCCATTTTCCAGGGGTATATTACATAACAATGACAGCGCATGCTCCATTTATATATTATATATTATTATAATATACACATAAACGTGTGCCCACGTAAGTATATTACATCCAGTCAACAACATGCCAGTGTGGCACTGGGCTATTGCGTGACTTAGGACTTAGGTATTTCAGTCTGTTCTTACTTATTTATATTTTTCCCTCATCATACTCGCACTAAAAAATGAATCTTGTTTTGAGCCTGAGAGAAGGCCTAGAACCAGAATATCGACTGCCAAGATCTAGTGTTTTATCAATCATTGATCGGAATTCCCATTGATCAATGGATGGGTGGTAATTTTAAGTTGGTACGGAGAATCTACTAAACGCTGAGATCTGAAATTTTACAGCAATAAAAAAGACATGTGGGGCGCTTGTGTGGTCGGCGATCAACCGGCAGCTCCGCTTAGTTTTCGAACCGCAGAGGAAATTCGCACAAACACGGCAATATCTCCGGTTCTAGAGTAGGCCCGCGTCACCGCGCTACTGTTTGGGTGCGCAACCCCCGGTCTCCTGCTTTGTTTTGGATAAGAACAGCGAAAACGAGGTCACTTTCTGTGAGCATGCGCAGAATGCAGCTTATTTCACTTTCGTTTTGAAGGTTCCTGTCAACACACGTGATTCTACGGTGTCGGAAAGTTTTGCCCCTTCATATTAATGGTTTTCGTAACCGGTATCGGTCAATTTACTACTAAGCGCTTGAGTAGTCGATTATTTAGCACATCTAGCTAATCAAGCTCTAATGTATCGTAGAATGTATACTAGAATCGATAAATACTATCGCAGGCTGCTTCTTAATGCCCAGGAACATGCCAGATAGGGTTGCGCACTGAAGCAGACCAAATTTGTGCAGTCTGTTTCAGTGCGCAATATCTGCTTTTTTGCTATTTGGCATTGATAGTGTGGCTTCTAGTTCTAGGCCCTTTGTTTGTTTTACTTATTAAGTTATTTCTTTATGACCTGCATTGTGCACTGAAACAGACTGTTTTCCTTCCATTTGGATGCATTATATTGCCATTGGAAGATGATAAGTTAATGTATTCATGTCAAAATTAATTAATATGGAAATATAATCTCCAAAATGTTCAATTTCTTCTTTTCATGTCTTTTTCTTCTTCTTTTTTGCCCTTTTCCTTAAAGAATACTAGTCTAGGTATAGTCTAATTCTTGTTTTCTTCTTTCACTTCCTTGTGTCCACAGCACCTTTCTTTTTCAATTTCTTCTTTTCACGTCTTTTTCTTCTTCTTTTTTGTCCTTTTCCTTCTAAAATACTAGTGTAGGTATAGTCTTATTCTTGTTTTCTTCTTTCCCCTTCTTGTGTCCACAGCACCTTTCTTTTTAGGGAGTGTATACAGACCTGGTAACCGGGAACAAAGTCACAAAGTATACAGACCCGGTAGGGGAACTCCTTTGTGATTTCGGAAAGTTTCAGCGCCTGTTGGCTCAGGGACACAGAATTCTAAGTGTAGAATTCTGTGCTCAGGGAAGACCTAGGTTCTTCTAGATCTATGGTCCAGGTCTAGATCTAGATAGACAGACATTATAAATCATTGATCTAGTTTCGAGGCTAGCCTAGATCTAGATCTAGATGTAGATTAGATCTAGATCTTAATGAAGATTGCGGATGTCTTTTCGATGAACGATTGTTTTTCCTCCGTTTTGGAGTTGGAGGAATCACAATTTGAAGAAAAGAACAATGTCATAATTTCAATCGAGCAGTCACCCTCTCTATTTCTCTGCCTCTCTCTCTCTCTCTCTGTGTGTGTGTGTGTGTGTGTGTGTATCGCTCGCATTCTCTTTTTCTTTGTTCGTCTCCGTCTTTCTTTCTCTCCAGCTATTTCCCACTCTATCTTTCTCTCGTTCCCTCCTAAAAACTCGGGGCATGTTATCACATTTTGCTAACACTTCTCTCCCCCCTCTCTCTCTCTCTCTCACACACACACACACACGACCGGGTCTGGGCGCTGAAACTTTCCGAAATCACAAAAGAGTTCCCCTACCGGGTCTGTATACTTCGTGACTTGGTTCCCGGTTACCGGGTCTGTATACACTTCGTTCTTTTTATCCATTATCAAAACACATACACACGGTGTAAGGAAATCTCCTGTTAGGGGGCGCACAGCTCCCAAAAAGAACACGCCTAATTGACCTTGGCCTTCCGTTATGGTCACTACAGACTACAGGAACTTCTTGCAAGGAAAAGAAGACAAGAGAAGGATGAAATCAGAAAAGTGTCAAAAAAGAGCTAGATCTAGATCTAGAGCTGTAAACATGGTACTATTATTGCGCACCAAACCAGACGATATGTTGCACCAAACCAGAAACCTTGCGCACCAAACCAGACACACGTTACCAAACAAACACCACCACAACATATAGAAATTTTAAACTGCTGTTACAGTAATGCGCTACACCGTATAGAGAGGAAGTTTTTCTAACTTCTGGTGAAAAAATCATGAAGATCGACCTGTAACTTCCAGAGTAGGCACTTGGATAAAAATTTCAAAGCTTTCAAATTGCTTTAAAAACAATACCAATGCAAAGAGCTCAGTGACACGATTCCAACGCAACCTTAGTTATTGCTCTATGTTGAACCGTTTTTGAGATATGGCATTTTAAAGATCTTTTCGAGGGGATAACATCTATATAGAAAAAAAAGGCAATTTTTGTGATCGAAACAGCAAGGACAACAAGGGAAATGTTAGCTGCTTCAATATGCTGCTGCGTACATGCAAAAACCAAACATTTTCTGAAACCTTGTGATGTTGAGGACAAAATAACAGTCAGACGAGATTTTTAAAATATATCGTGGTGGGTAATATTGGGTAATATTATGTAACACTGTGTTGTGTAACGTGACCGCACCGTCCTGCGGTCAATATATTTTGCCATAACTTTCTTATAAATTAAGCTACATCAATAATTGAGGTATCGTTTTGAAGGTCTTTTTAAGGCCTTTCTTTTGGAACATCTACATATCAAATATCAGTAGAATTAACAAAAAAACTGATTAAAAAATAAAATATATTTTAACAAAACAGCTGGTCGCCTAAAATAAGATGAGCATAGAAGTTTTTAAAGTTAACATTTGTGTCTACAGCTGCTGCAAACTAGTGTTTTTAGTCTACCTTAATTCATGATAATACTGTTTTTTAAATTCATTTTGCATGTTATTGTTAGAATGTTTCTTTCATGTTTTAATTTGTCATGTAAATGATCAATTACTCTGTCTTTATCTTTGATTTCTCTTTTACATCTTTAACTCATGAGATTGCCCTGTAAGTTAAACAATAGTCTCTTCTAATTTTATTACTTCAGTTTGTTCAGCAAGTTTTTCATTATATTTTTATTGTGTTTATTTAAATGTTCATCTTCTTCAAAGACAATTAGTTGTGAAATATGACATGTTTTTTGAAGCACGCAATTGTGTCACGATACTTATTTATTCTTTCTTTATTTCTGGCAATTGTTTAGTTCACCCAGTCTGCCAACTTGATATTGTTAAATTAATGTCAATTTTTTTTCCTTGTCTGCAACAAATGCTTTCTTAAGTGCTCAATTTTTTTGCAACTTGTTCAAACAAGTTTTTCTGTGAATTCGACCAACTCCGCAAGCATTTCAATTTCTGGATTTTAATTAAAGTCAGGATTTATTCTGGTGAGCTGTCAATAAATCCAATGGAACAGTGGCAGGTTGTGATCAGGGGCTGTGGAAAAAAAAAAAAAAGCAAAGCAATGAATTCATCAATGAAGTAAATAAATTCATTTGTGAGCAGTGGATGGAAATTTGACATTTTCACACTACAACTCTAGTCTAGTAAAGGGAGGGTGTAGATGACTAGACAAGAGACAAAACATCTTCTAATAAACATGTAGATCTATCTTAAAACAAACTGGACAAAGTACATGATAATTTAAAGAGATATTTAAATAACAAGCACACACAAAAACAATTAAGAAGAAAAAATATTTAAAGACAATATAAGCACACAAAAGAAGTAAAAACTTGCGTGAAATCGATGGTCTAACAGTGACAGTAACACAGAAACAAAACAAGGCCAAGGCTGTTACATTTCCCTCCCTCCCACCCAAGACTCCTTACTGATTGTTACATGGTTCAAATTCATAAAAATTATACAACAGTGATACATATTACATTCCAAAATTTAAAATAAATCATATCTTCTACTATAAAACATTCTTCAATGCCGTTTAAGAGGTAATAAACGCCAACAATACACGTTAGCGTGGGTTAAGTTCGCTTTCCGCAATGGCCGCCATGACCTCCCGGTTCACGCTCAGCAGCGCGATCGATAATAGGTCATGCCCATTCATGGAGAGTGACCTATTTAAATTAGGGCTCACACGCTTATGCCTCAACGTACAACATTGAAATTAACAAATAAAAGAGATAAAAGGTTGAAGAAAAGACTGTGAGGAGTACCTAAAAAAAAAAAGATATACTCTTTAAATATAAAGGCTTGAACTTACCTTATTTTTAACTCCTTGTAACTCCGAACACACACAACCGATCCCGAAGTGGAAAACGCCATAATACGCGCCTTTCTTTCCTCTTTAATTTGATAGGCGGAAGTAATCCATAAATTGAAAAGAACACTATAAACGAAACAAAACAAATAGGTACCCCCCTCACGGGGCCCGATTTCTGACACAAAACGCGGCGGCCGCAGGTGAACGAAAATCTCGGGCCGCGCGGGCCGATATCCAAGTGCCTATCCAGAGATATCCACAAAAGATCGCTTACTGTATATCGCACCACAGGATGTACTCTAGATCTAGATCTAGTAATCGTTCGGGATTGTACGCTGGCATGTCGTTAGTTTAACCTTTCCTCTGGTTGGTTGCCGAGTTTCATTTATTTTCGTCCAGGAGTTTTCCCGTAGCCGTAACTATACTTAGAAGAGTCACTTCAGATTCCGAGCGGCCCAAAAATTACCCCTCGCGCGGAGGCCGATTTCCGGCCCAAGGCGCAGCGGGCGATTGGCACTGCTACACAAGTAAGACTGTAAGTGCTGCTGTTACTGCCTAAAGCTAGATCTAGATCTAGATCTACTCGTAGCCATACTTTTCTGTCGTTAGATCTAGATCTAGAATCTACATGATATTGACATTATTGAGATGCCCAAGAAAGTCCCCCTCAAAAAAATAACTAAGACTAGATCTAGATCTAGATTCTAGATTCTCTGTATCTAGATTCTAGATTTCTGAATCTAGAATCTAGACTAGATCTAGATCTAGATCTAGGTCTCTAGATCTAGATCTAGATCTTGAATCTAGATCTAAGCCACTAAGCCTAAGCCCTAAGGCCCTAAAAGCAGGCGAAAGTGAAAGCCGAAAGTGAGTGTTACCTTTCCGGTGACCAAAACAATACTGGGACGATTTCATTCCCTGATGCCAGGTGGACAAGGCAGAACGCTAACGCTAAAGCCAATGCCATAGCTACAACTGTTGAGATATGAAATTACAAACAGAATTTTCTACTCTGAAACAGGACGGTCCAATTCGCCCTTTCCAAGCCTGGAATCGTAGTTTGGCTATGTTAATGCGATGACGAAAAGACAACTGGCCAGCCGGAAGTCTTGTGATCATCAACTGAACTAATATGCCAGTTTGGACTGAATATAGTCTTCACCATTCCGTGCCGTACATCAGGTTCCTTGCAAACCGCCAAACTCCCTCTGCACAATTCTGCCAGATCAGTATGATGGGAATTCGATATAATAACATTTTGCTTTATTAAAAGACAAAAACTGTCTCGCACAATCATTGATAGCATTGAAGACCTAAATTTGTCATTGTCAACAATACAATAATACAGCCTAGGCCAAGAGCTTGAATAATTTAATTTTTAAATATTAATATCTTTACAACTATGAAAACATTTACATACTATGCATGTGGCCCTTCTTGAGACTCCCCCATGCAATAACATGTACTCACAGCTTGCCTCAGGCTATTTTTCCTACATTACAGCACTGACGTGATATGTGAATATGGGCAGCCTTACACAATTATTATGTTCAAACTTAAAGATGAAGTTTACTATCATATCATTAATTAAACGAAACCCCGCATATTAAATTAAATATGATATAAGAGGACCTGTGTACGTAGATCATTTCGTAATGCAAAATCAAAAATCAAAATGTTGTTATTCCAAAAAGAACGCTAAATTTTGTTACATAATCTAAACCAACTTCTTTGATCTAAACCCGCAGAAAGTCAGACGTGCAAAGCCAACATGTCTGATAAAACCTGACATTCTGTCAGATTGGGCAACTTATGATTTATTTCGCGTTTTTATTCTAAAGTACCTTAAGGCTGCTGAGCCTTTCCTGTTGTTTGCTTTTGTATGAAATCAAGATACCTTTGTGTAGATACTTATTTGTTTACTGAATGGCATTAGAGGGATTGATTAGATCTACATCTGCTCTCCAAAGCATTACACACAAACACATATACATACATATATACACAGAGAGAGAGAGAGAGAGAGAGAGAGAGAGAGAGAGAGAGAGAGAGAAAGAGAGAGAAAGAGAGAGAGAGAGAGGACAACCCTTGAAATCTCTGGTATTAATACTTCCAGCCCCATCCGTGTATATTTTCAGCTGCGCTTGTAGCCCGCCGTCCCAAGAGATATGCTCTCAGTTTCAGGGGGAACCAAATTTGCACATAAAAAAAAATAGCAAACCTAATTAAACTTTAATTTTCATAAAATTTGTTCATTTACCTTTAAATGTTGTAATATGATATTATCTAAACCTCATTACAAAGATGCCAGAACTACATCACTTTTTAGAATGCATGCCTCTTTTTTCTGAAATACAGCTGTATTGGCTGGGACTGAGGTTATGGAGTGCATAAAAATGTCTGGCTGTGGAGGAAAAATACATTAGAGAATTATAATTAAAGGGAAGAGAAGCCGCAGGGATCTCTAGGAAAGTAGCTACCCATATTTTCAGATGCATCATGTCTGAACATCTGCTCTGGATACTGGATGAAATTTAATTTTGATAAAATAAGCCGAGCTTGAATTTGACTTGAAAAGTCAACGAAAGCAAAGAAATCTGGGGTTACTTTCTCAAGCTCGCCTATTTCCTCTTCCGTTTCTACCTTTCTCTCTTCAACTGCAAACATGGGTGAGTCTGTTCACGTGTTGTAACTTTAAAATTTCTTATTCTAGGTATATCCTCTTTTTTCATAAAGCTTTATTTGATATTTGAATGGTGAATTATAAATTAAGCTTTACGGTAGGGTTTATTCTTTTTCTGTGTGCTGTTCTGTAGATGCAAGTCTCGTTACATATTTCGAGGTCCAATCACCATTTATCGATAGTTGGCGAATACGAGACTGCATGGTCTTTTTGGCCTAAATCTAGATTTTCTAGATCTAGATTTCTAGATCTAGACTCTAGATCTAGATTCTAAATGTAATTTTGTAACGTAAGCTTAGGCATGGCTTTCGAATATGGCAAACCAGTAGGACTTTATTAAGTTACAGGGATGCTTTTCACATGATCCTTCTTAGGAGGTGATCTTGTTACGTTGTAGTTCCGTTCGTTAAAGTCCATGATCCATTTCATTTGTTTACATCCAGAGATGAAATCCAAAAGTCTTGAAGACCAAATACTATTTGAATTAGGCTACACAAAGAGCAGGGATGCAACCTAACTGCAAAACATCAAATTAGGATAAAATTCAGGGGGGGGGGGGCATGCCCCCTGAACCCTACTAAAACAAAACAGGTGAACGCTACACTGGTTGGCCTAGGCTATCTATCATGGTGAATGCACACCGGGTGAGAATAGCCAAAAGGCTCGCTTGCGCTATTTTCACCCCGCAAAAAAAAACCTCATAGCCTATACATGTTTTTGTTTTGTTTATCTAGATTCTAGATCTAATAGTATTTTGCATGCTGAACACGAATATGGCCTTCATTTTTGCCGCAAATCAATAGTTATTGGGTTATTGATGTTTGAAAGGCCACCTTTATTCTCACCCCGGGTTAGAATAACCTGTCTCGCTGTAATAACGAATAATAATAATGTAAAAACATTTTTCGCCTCTCCTGTAAAAAAGGGCTCACTACTGACGCTGAGTGGGATGTGTGGCCGGCCGGACCATTCGTTGTTTACGCACTTAACGATGGCTGGCCTCTCTGCACACAATACATTATGGTTGAAGGAACAGAGAGCGTGTGCGAAAGTAACGAGACGATGGTTGAAGCGTTGTAAATTATTCAGACCAAATGGACAAGGGCGTTAAATCGTGTTAACTAGAAATCTAGTTTAATAATTTTAAACAATCCTAGCTCTTTTCTTCACTTTCACTTTTCCCTTGCCTCTTCTGTCCCCTTATTCTTCAACATTTGGAGTTTGGAGCAAAAATAGCCAGAGCGCCAAAAGAAATTCTCCCGGCCAGATGCAATCCAACAGAGCCATATTTCTGGGATTTGGCTCCAATTTAACAACCCTGACTGACTAGATCTAGATGTATGTCGGGACACCAACACGATCCTGTGGAGCATTAGCCCCGGTAACCTCAGCCCTGATCCCTCTTGGGTCATTTCTGGTAAAACAAGGGAGGGGGTGAGAATAGCGAGACATAGGTTATTCTCACCCCGTTGCCCTGGGAAAATACATTAAAGTTCTCGAACGTTTGAACACAAAATCGGTTAACATCCTTTGGTTCATTTTGCCGGTCACGATTGCCAATTCATTCGGCTTTTCTCGGTCTGAGAGTTCGTTTCATGCGAAAATGCGGCAAGCGGAAGTGTATGTGTGATATCGAAGCTGTATCTACTTTCGCTTTTGGTTTTTTTGGGGGGGGGGGGATTGTAGTAGAGGTTTTACGGCGCTCGCAACTGCATAAGGTCATATGAGCGCCAATCGCTTTCAGTGCCTCACTGACAAGTTGTTGGCTGGATATAATGTGCCTACATGTATGTATGTATAAATGGAGCACGCGCTGTCATTGTTATGTAAGATGCCCATGGAAAATTGGGAAGCAATTTAACAACATGGGTTTCGGGGGGGGCCTGCCCGCCTGCATTTCACCATGATTTTGTTTTGGCATGCCCCCTGGCAATGAAAGGGTTCATTCAGCATCAATTCTTTTTTTAAAAGCTATGGTTCACATTTATCATATTTTTAAAATGGTCTTTGAATTTTGCAGGTAAGCCTATGGGATTGCACACAGCTCGCAAGCTGAAAGACCATCGTCGTGAACAAAGATGGCACGACAAGGATTACAAGAAAGCCCATTTGGGAACAAGATGGAAGGCTAATCCTTTCCAGGGTTCATCCCACGCCAAAGGCATCGTGTTGGAAAAAGTGTAAGTGTTTGCATCAGACCAATGTTCCTTCTCATGCTGTCATGGCAACATCTGAGGATGTGTGATTTTTTATCTCTATTGCAGCTGACAGCTCAATGGCAGCCCTTGCAACTCAAAAGTTGTGCAGTCAACAGGATACGTCTAATGGGTTTCTGTTTACTTGTTTCGGTTTTGCTCTCCTTTCTCTTGTGAGGAAAAGTAATTCACTTGGTCATGAAAATATTTATGTATATTAAATATCCAATTTTGTACATCACTGCAGTATTTTTATCACAATAGAGAGCCTTCTTTTGTACCTGTTCTCTTTTCCAAGGCTCAGCTCTAGACCTAAAAAATTTGCTGATCAGCTATTTCAACTGTATAGACTTATTTGATCAGGCAGAGTCGTATTATGAAACTATAACTTCTATTTTATCAGTTCCTGGAGACAGTACTTCCAAATCTTTTTCGGTTTTTAAAAAAAACGGAAATCGGTACTTTCTGACAGTTCCATACTTGCTCTCCTATCTATCATTACCAACTCCATCCATATGAGAAAAAAGTGCGATATCGTAGGGCCTCCGAGATTCCAGGGCAAAAGATCCGAACTCGCCATCGTATGATCTTGTATAAAAGTAATGGTTATTTTCGGTAATTCTGTCTGCCATATGTGTTAAGTGTTACAGGAACTTGCCAGGCCTGGGAGTATGAGGAAATCTGTGAACTGCCCCGGGAAAATACTTAAAGTTCTTGAATATTTAAAAACCAAATCGGATAGGTCAGTAAATTCATTTTTGCCGGTCGCGATTATTGTGTTCGTTAGGCTTTTCTGGGTCTGAGAGTACATTTCACACGAGCAGGGGGGGGGGGGTGTATGGCTCACTGAGGCTCGGTTCTCAATCGGGGGAAGTCAAGATCTGCTTTCTTTACCAGTAGTAATTTGTGATAGTCTGATACCCCAACATTTGTGACATGCAGGTCGTGCAGTATAAATGCTGTGTAGCAATGACAATGAAAAATTAAATTTTTTATCCAAATTGCTTAAAAATGGGCTAAAATGAAAATAAAGTAAATTCTAAGAACTATGGTTTTTAAATTGTAAAAATCCATTGATAAATAAAGTGATTGGGATTTTTATTTGCAAAATTTTGGGGGACTTTCAAATAGGAAAATATCGCCAAAATGTGGGACATGTCTTGACGTATTTTGATGAGAAACTTCATAAGTCAGTAATGAATTGGAGTATATGAATGAGACTAGGCATCTTTATGTGATTTTTAGTGCAGAATCTAGTTCTGCTGTCACTTTTTCGATGTCTTTATTACTTTGGATCTTAAAGACTAATGTTTACGTGAAATTTGTTGAATTGCGTGACATCGTTTTTACTGAACAACTCAGTAAAGCGGTATCGGGAAAACCCGCAATGAAGTCATTGGTGACCTATTTAGTTATAGGCAGCCAATCACGTGCCGCCTAGCAATCATTCGTCTCTTGCATGCCGGCACCTCACGTTTGGAATGCGTGATCTAGTTTCTAGCTCTAGTGTTTTATCTATGGATGGTTGGTAATTTTAAGTTGGTATGTAAACTGTACTACACACAGAGATTTGAAATTTTACAGCAATAAAGACGACACGTGGGGCGCCTGTGTGGTCGACGATCAACCCGCAGCTCCGCTTATTTTTCGAACCACAGAGGAAATTCGCACAAACACGATAATTTCTCCAGTTCTAGAAATCGTTCGGGTTTGTACGATGGCATGTCGTTAGTTTAACGGTTCCCCTGATTGGTTGCCGAGTTTCATTTATTTTCATCACCGAGTTTTCCCGTAACTATACTTAGAAGAGACTCACTTCTGATTCTGAGCGGCCCAATAATTACCCCTCGCACGGAGGCCGGTTTCCGACTCAAGGCGCAGCGGGCGATTGGCATTGCTACGCTGTGTCGCCTCGCAAATAATTCAATATTTTACACTGTGTTATCGTTTGTGAAAAGAAAATACAGGTGTTGGGCTCGTCATCGTGGCTGGTCAGTGAACCTGCCCACGTTCGCATCACATGGAACAGTATCGTGTGAATACTGGCGGTTGTTGGGGTAGCCTAAGTCCATTCAGATTCTGGGCGTTGCGAAATACGACTCCAGAATGGGGAGAATTGTTGATTTTTGAAAGATACACTCAATGGTATTGATGGCAACTTGATATCAGGTTTTAGAATTTTGATTAGAGCTATCTGCAAAGCTGATTTTGGTGCAGGCCTAGTGTGGAATCGGGATCCGCCATACCTTGCAAGCTTTGTTATTGAACTGAGGTGTTTGCATTTCATTCGATGGGTGATAATAAATTATTACTATGTTTTAGCTTTCTGGTCAAAAGTGGCAGATTTTTCAGTGTTACCCCATCTTGCCCTCCTTCAGTTCTTACAACTCTCACACTGACTGATAGGTCTTCTTGAGCCATACAAGTTATTACTCTACTTTGAGTTTGAGCAATAATCCAGATTTTTTTAAAAAAAGGTTTTATTATGGGTTGTTGGTATTTACTTCAAACAGGCTCCCAAGTGCCATTTTTAACCCCCTAAAAGCTCTTAATTTCAATTTCTTCGGGGGGTTTGCCCCCTGAGTACCCACCGGGACGCTGTCCCTTGGACCCCATGCTGGGGGTTGCTTTGAGCTCCGGCAGAATTTTCCTTACTTTTCATCTTTGGCTGTTGGAAGCACTGAGAAGAGATTTGTCATTATATTCAACAGAAACATTGTTCGCATACTAATTGTGCAGCATACTTCTATTTGTGAGGCATGCTGACAAAATGAGTTACTTCTCACAATCCACAAATGCCGATATTTGCAAAAAATCGGCACTAGGGACACATTTCTAGGTTTTCTATTGATGCAATATTCATTAAGTACTAAATGCCTTTTGTTATTCCATACTTACAAATTGTAAAACCTTGACCTAAAAGCATGATAATGTATCTATTTTCAAAGGGCTCAAATCCGAGAAGTAACTCATTTTGTCAGCACGCTTCACATTTATTACTGGTCAAAGGTCGGGGGGGGGGGTGTAGCTTTTATTTCCTGACATAGTATTTCGCAGGTTTTTTTGTTTTGTACCACTTAGCTGTGTCACTGACTGTTCCCTCTCTCTTTGCCTTTTGCAGTGGTGTTGAAGCCAAACAGCCTAACTCTGCTATCAGGAAGTGTGTGAGAGTGCAGCTTATCAAGAACGGCAAGAAAATCACGGCATTCGTACCCAACGATGGCTGCTTGAACTTTATTGAGGTTTGTAGTTTGTTTGTTTTCAAACTATTGTTGATAAACCATTCTTTGTTCTTCCAGAAAATGGTAAAATGTTTATCTTAGAAGTCTTACCTTGGCTAGGGTAGTTATACACTTTTATCAACCAAATTAGCTATGCCAATGAAAATTTATTTTTTCACTTTAGCCCTTCTTTTTTATTTGGTACCTAAGAAAGAATTTTCAATTCTAAGAATTATGTAGGTACCGCAAACAGGCCGTGCGCCCCCGTGGCGCACTGTCACGGAGACCAAAACCCATATTTTTACCCTCCTAAAACACCGTGTGATCATGCATACACACAGACACTTGATATAGCGGAAGGAGGAGGAGCTTTTCCTCTTTTTAGTGATATTATTTATTTGAATCAAGGGTTCTTTTGAGAGCAAAATCTTGCGGAATAAAAGACAACACTATCAAGGTTTTCATCGCAGGGGCCACGCGTTTCGTGTATTGATTTTTTTAGTGAGTGACCTCGGTTGAACAGGAACGGGGAGCGTATGGTATTATATACTGCAATCTGATTTGTCAATATTTCAAGATGAGAAGACGCTCTTTCCGCTGATAATTTCTAAACACTTGTCCTTAAAGAATTAATAGAGATTTGCGTGTGAAAAAACTTTCGGTGCTGTTTTTTTATGGAACCAGTGATCGGACTGACTACGGAAATATATCGGCAGAAAGCCCATATTCATTCCTCTTCAAGAATAACACAGCCATTATACGCTAATAAACACCGGACGCTCCCCGTCGGCTCGCAAGCAGGGCACCATCACCCCGGTTTCGGATAAATTCTCTCTCCTTCCCTTCAGCGCGGCCCGGCGCACAGCCGATAAGCCGGTGGTCGCGAGTGGGGATTTTAACCTCTTGTATTTCTTGACGTTTTGGTCAAAAAGCCTACGTCAATAAATTTTCGTCTTCTGGTTATTTGATAGCCCTGAAAAAAATTGAGCGTGTTCTCTATGTGCATAGGTGTGTTTCTACAAGTTTTTGTGAATGTGCATTCAAATTGAAGAATGTTGTGATGTCTCAAAATGTAGACATTTCGCAGTTAAAAAACTAACATTTTCCTGCAACTTCAGATGTTCATAACTTTGTTAAAAATGGAGCTATACGTGTAAATTTGGTATCAAAATGCTCAGAATGATCAATTCTATAAGGTAGTGCAGTTAACTATGAAATCAGTGACTTTGAAATTTCAGTTTGTGGTACCTAAATTATGCTTCTTGAATTTTAAGAATCGGTTCATAAATTTAAAAAAAAAGTTATTGGGTTGTAATGGTCGGCAAAATTTGGAAGACCCACATATAGGAAAGTACTCCTAAACAGTGGACCACGCAGTAGCAGATTCTGTAAGATAATCAACGATATCTCAGTAATTAATTGGATTGTTAGAAAGAAACTTGGCTACCCCGATATGTTTTTTGGTAGAGAAATCACTTCTGCCGTCAGATTTACTAAACATGTCATGGTTATTTTGTACACATTACGATGTTGCGATAAAGGGGTGTCGGAATGAGTTCATTTTATTTATAGCATCGTATCACAACATGAGTTCTTTAAAAATTATGTTGGCAGTGTGACTAAATGGCAAAGCTTTTTTTTTAATGACTTGAGACCATGCCAACCATAAAATATAATTTAATTCAATCTAGCATTCCGTTCAATTAAAACCCCTTTTTCCCGTAGAGACGCGAATACTCCGATTGCAATGTTACAGGGGAACAGAGAAAAACAACCGGATGCGCGCACGCCGCCATTGCCCTGTTTCAAGTGAGCAATGAACAGGCTTGGAATAGTCATGCAGAGATTTGTAGGTCACAGACATTTGCTTTGGGAGTGAGGGGGAAATGGCCGTCTCCGTGCGAAGCCGCTTTGGACAACGGGATGGTCATTCATTTATGATAAATTCTGCACAACTGCTTGACACAGAAGGTTCAAATTTAAACACACTATAGAAGAAAGATGGATCTCTTAACATCTCGGCGTCGAATATCGAACTCCTTATAGTTTTCGGTGTACCCTATACGAAAGGGTTTCCGACACCAAATGTATGGGTTAATTTATGAGTACGAACTTTGACTTCCACATATTAGTTTGCCCTATTTTCTAATTGGTTGCCAAGTTTCATTCACATTTCTACAGAAATAGTGCAGAACGAGCTTGGGAAAATCAGTCTCTATAGTTCTGACTCTGTCAAAAAATGCACCAAATTTTCGCAGCGCACGGAAGCCCGATTGGTATTGCTAACCAAATCCGCGAAGACCAAGCTGAACCCTTTCCACGGTGACATTGCGTCGATCCGTGACGTCCAGATTTTTCGCCTTGAGCTTTTGGCTCCCTCTGTTCATTGTTTGAAATGTACAAGACAGGGAAATATTATTTATTTAACTTTTATTGTTTATATTGATTTTACATAAATCAACAAACAAAATGATACTTCTATGGTTACGATACATTTATTATTGGAGAAATTAGTTTGGACTACTGAGGTTAAGGGGCTTCCTGTATTGCCTGTTTTTTTGTTTTGTTTTACATGTTACTCTCTTGTATCGCTTAATCTTCAGCACTTACATTTACATCCTAGTGGGTGGTTGGCGGGTGCTCTGGTGTGGTTTACTTCTTCTTTCCTTATCTCCTCTTCTCTCTCCCCCCCCCCCCCCCCCCCCCCCCCCCCCCAATCTTCTTTTTTATGTTTGTTACTCTTTTGTAACACCTAATGTGAAGAAACTTGCATTTTCCCGCAGGTTTGTGAATTTTTATCAAATTTTTGTTTTTTGGCTCAACACCTTTAATGCCCATTAAATAACTCATTTCTGTGGGGATTTTTATTAAAAACGTTGATTAAAGGCACAATAAATGTAAATTTTCAGTTACCACGGACTCTTAGGCTGAGGAAATAACTAATCTTTGGCAGCCATTTTCTTACTAATTTTACCTCTGAAAACGGGTAACCCCCATCTCCTTCATTCGCAAATATCTCGACTTGTATTCAAGACAAATTGTAATTGATATTTTTTCATCTAAATAAAGACAAGTGAACAAGCTTTAAGATGATACCAATAACTATACATGCCCAAAATTGACGAGAGCCTGATTCCACCCCGCTGCCTCACATTTACATCCTAGTTGCAAGTGCCAAAAAAAAATACAGAAGCTGAAATAAAAACATGTGTAGCCATTTCTGATCACTCTACCTTCGCTTTTAAGGAAGCTAATATTTCTTCTTTTTTTTCTACCGCACAGGAAAACGATGAAGTACTCGTTGCTGGTTTTGGACGTAAAGGTCATGCTGTTGGTGATATTCCGGGTGTGCGTTTCAAGATTGTCAAAGTGGCCAATGTGTCTCTCCTGGCCTTGTTCAAGGGCAAGAAAGAGCGTCCCAGATCTTAAAATGTTAACAAAATAAAAGTGAAGTGAAGTGACCATTTTCTTGTTGTTTATTTTTGTGTTTCTAACCCATAGAGACCTACTGTCACATGTGCAGGTGGTTGAAGGGTGCCTTATGTACTTGTGGATCCTCTTTCTTTCCAATCCCTATCTTGCTTCTGTCTTATCTCCTTTCTTTGTGTGGTTAAAGTAAGGTATCTTAACCCTGTCCGTACGCTTGCTGGGGCATTTTGTACCCCCGGGGTTGTATTCTTCACATTTTAGAGTACTTTTAGGGTGAAGATCTCTTTGAAACTTTCAGTATTTCTCAAAAATGATTTCGACAGACTGTTATACATGCAAAGCGTACAGATCGGATTAACGAGTAAATTTCCTTTTTGGAAAGTGGTGGCACAGTTCCCCATGTCGTATGGATACGAAGTAAAACACGTAATACAGATAGGGTTAATTGTCTTGCCCTGTGTCTGGATACAGTACAGTGGAACTAGGTTTCAGCATAAGTTGGATTCCCCTGATTTTTAATTCTTAAAATCAATTTTAAAAATAACTGATTCAACGAACACATAGATCTAAATGGGCAAGCTCGGATTCAATGAAATCGCTTGCAGGGTGAATTGCTTTATTCTTTTTTAGATCAATCACTATCGGCTGCCTCTTTTCATACCAATACACACGTTATTAGCTTGCACCCATGTTTTAGCGTATGTTGGACAGAACGCCAGTACCTGTGTGTGTGTTTGGGGGAATGCCAGTAGAGATACTAATGAGACACATCGGCTACTGATCAATATTTCAATGATACGTTAATCTTGTCACATAGATCTATGTGCGCTGGACTTGGATCGAACATTGCTATTATGCTAGTCTCAACACAGCAACATGACTTGTAAGGCAAACAATATAATATGTAGATGTGCATTTGAACGAATTAGCCCTTTTGCACAGTGTGTGCTGCTTGGTGGAGGTCAGTGTACGTGTATTTTCCTTGAATTTTACAGCATTTCTTCGGCAAAGAAACAAAAGTGCTTCTCATTTGAAACCAAACTACTTTTGGTTAAAGTGGAATACATTATACATTGCTTGCTCGATGCCTGTACAAGGGGGTTCAATAAGTCTTTGGTCTGTGTATGAAGGAATCATGGTAGAGTAATAAAATTTCTCGTCTCCATGCAAATTTTCTGGGAAATCCTACGATAATAAGACTGAAGCTGTGTCATGGAGCCTGTTGAATATCGCTCAGTTGCCAAGTTTTTATACTTGCAAGGAAAATCCCCTTCAGACATTTTTCAGGAAATGGTCCAGGTTTATGGTGACAAATGTCCTCGTTATTATACCGTGACATACTGGGTAAGACAAGTTCAAATCTGGATTCATGTCGGTGATGATAGTGATGGATGAAGATCGTGATGGGCATCCATCCTTTGTGGTGACAACTGAAGAGAGTCTATCCATAGTGAAGAAACTGGTTCTACAAAACCGATGTATAACTCAAATAACTGTTAAACAGTGCTCAAGTGAAACACAAATTGGTGAAGGGTCAATTGAAACGATTCTCCATGACCATCTTAACATGAATAATATGTCTGCTCAGTGGGTGCTCCACCTTTTGACAAGTGAGCCAAAGAAGCAGAGGGTTGAGTCCTGCAAAACGCCCCTTCGAATGGAGTCCAATGACAAACATTTCTTTAAAAACATGGTGACTATGGATTAAATACAGTGGAACTCGGATTCAACGAAGTCGCCGAGCCTGACCTAAAATCTCGTTGAATCTGAGTGTTCATTCTATACCAAACACGAGGTTTTGTGTAGATAATTACAGGCACTGAGCAAGTAATGCATAAAGATGTCACAAGTAGTAGTACTGTAGTCAAGAAGTGTCTGAAATGTCCGCATATTATGAGCTGTTCTGTAAAAAAAGACCGATTAGTTCAAATGCACACGCCAGTGTCATCTCGATTGTTTACCAAAAAGTTGTGTCGCTGTGTAGAACCTAGCATTAGCATACGGCAACTTTTGATTCCACAGACCAGCGCACAATTCATTACGTAAATCTACGTCAAGACTAGCTTATCATTGTAATAGTGATCAGTTACCGAGGGGGAAAAAGACTGACGTGTTTGTGTCTGCGTAATCCGAGTTCCACTGTATAGTATGGGTTTATCAGTTTATCATTTTGATCCACAACTCACAACAAAAAAATGTCCTTGCAATGGAAAACCTCTTCTTCTCCCTCACCAAAGAAGGCAAAGGTAACACTGCCAAATTCAAATGGAAAGGTCATGCTATCATGTTTCTGGAATTCTGAAGGTATCATTCATCATGACTACCTGGAAAATGGAAAAATAGTCACAGGAGACTACTACTACTACTACTTGGGTTTGCTGATAAAAGTGCTGTACGAATTGGCAAGGACGTCACTGAAGCTTGTTGAAGACTGGTTGGGGGGGGGGGGGGGGCTACACCCGGAGGCTATCTCGCTTATTTATTACTGGACCGAATTTTACCAAATTTCACACATATAACAAGCATAGTAAGGAGTCTTAAAATCCGCAATCAAATTTGAGAAAAAAGTTTCGTTTCCATGGATACACCGCCATATTGGATTTTATTGACATGTCTGACGTAATGAATACTGCACTTATCGCTCATGGAAATTGATTGTTTTTTTGCACGCGTGTTTACAAACATTAGATCTAAAAATTTGTGTTGTTTTTTTCCTAATCGAATTATGAAATTTTTAATGAATTTTTTCCTGAGGTAGCATTCAAGTTTGCGAAAAATCCGTGAAAATCCACACTCCAGACACCACCAACAAAAATCTATTCCATATATATCAAAAATTCAACAGACAAATTTTTAGTATTACTATTACCTCTTCCCTTCATCCTGTGAAAATTTCATGAAGATTGGATAAAAAATGGTGGAGTTATTCAAAAAAGTATAGAGAAAAGTCGCATTTTGAGAAAACGGCCGATAAAGAAAAATAAAATACTGACTTTATGAAATATGAGGAAATGACCGTTACAAACATGCCCGGTATGGGGAAAAATACGGTTTTGGGGTTTTTTTATGCCATGAAATAGTTGTAGGAGATGCTGAGGAAGCTAAAAATGCCTACAACTACAACGCAAATTCCATGATTTTGAGCCGAATTTTGATTTTAGGGGTGTAGCCCCCCCCCCCCCCCCCTTTGATTTTAGGGGTGTAGCGCCGCGCCCCCCCCCCCCCCCTTAAGGACCATTTTGGGTAATTTTCCCTCAAGGGCTTTAGAATAATTAGAAGGTCAAAGAGAGTTGGCAGAAACGTGTTACTCTGCATGATGGCCATGTCTGTCCCTGTGGTTTTATGAACCCCCGCATAATTTAGCAAAATTTGGTCATTTTTTGCATTATTTCTGATTATTTTCCTTTATCATTCTTGATTCTTTGTCAAAATTAACAGAATCGCATAATTTCACATTTTTGGGCTCAGTTTGCATAATTTCAGAAATGTTCTTGCATAAAACGACGGGGACAGCCATGTAAAGACATAAAAAGTATGAGTGCCAAGCAGGGGCGAAGGCTGACTTGTTTGACAGGGTAATCAAAGTGAAACGGGACCAATGGCTTGTAGATATCACACAAGAATCTTACTCGAGGCGGCGACTCTGACTGAGTTGTGAATGAAAACAAATTCGGAATTCACATTGTATGTTCAACCGCCAAAATAATCGGGAAAGTATCTTATTAAATATCAGTTCCAACTAAAATTAAATTTAACTTTAGATGTGAATACATAAACACGAAGCAGAGATGTCAGTACTAGATCTATATGTTATAGATCTGCCAGTGAGTCTAACTCTTTGGTAGAACATGACAATTATCATTTTTTAAATTTCACATTTGGCTGTTTTTGTTAGCCTTTCGCGGCCAGGAGCTGGTGTCATAATCGAGGTCACGATCTGATTATAGGGCGGTAAAAAGTCGAGGAAAAAAAAACAAGCACATGTAGCAGTCAAGAGATTATTAGGAGTTAGTTCCCCTCATATATGTGAGGTAGACTCGACCAGTGTTAGTTAGCTTACATAATCAGAGCTTGTGATTGATTATAACTGTGGCCCCAAAGGGGTGAGCAGGGTATATGTGGCAATGAAACAGCTTTGACTGCAATACACATGTTCCCTTCAACTCTATTGGTGGACTCTTCCAGCCTCACTTTAAGCTTACTTAAAATTAAAGCTTGTGACTGCTTATGGAGTGGCCCGAGAGGGGTGAGGAGGCTATTTCTGTGGCCGTGAAACCGTTTTGAATGTTAGGCATACTCATTGTTGATTACGAACGTCTTTTTACATTTAATTTAAGAGGTTTACGTTTAAGGGTGAATTTTACAGTTACAGCGACAATGTTTCAAAATTAGGAAGGGAAGCAGTTATTATTTGATTATTATTATAGACGCTTCGCCCCTGGTGCCAAGTTACAAAGCTCTAGCTTTATTCCTTCATATTTAGACCAAAGACTTCTTGAATCCCCCTCGTAATAGTCGAAGCAGACCTTGTGCTGTTGAGGCAAGAGGTGAGCAGAGTAAGCCTGACTGAACTGACTCCCCGTTTGGACTACTGTTGACCCCTTGGTGCTCATATGACCTCATGCAGTTGCGAGCGCCGTAAAACCTTACTAAAACTAAAAAAACGATGCCTGTACATGTAATGTAATTATCTACATGTACACCAAAACGTCTTGTTTGTTAAAACGAACACTCAGATTCAACAAAATTGAAGACCAGGCCCGACGACTTCATTGAATCCAAGTTCCATTGTAGGCCAATAGGTTTGTCTCAGCTTTTTACATTTTAACCTGTGCCTGTGGTGTAAAGGTTAGGCAGGCACCTACTTCATCATTGCAAGCAGCAAAAGAGTTCGATTCCCACGAGTAGAGAATTTATGTTGAGTTTACACGTACATGTATCTCTGCAGTGACATTGTGCCTAGGTTGGCAGGGTTGATGAAGCAGCCAGTCTACATATTTAATTTATGATGTATGTTACTTTCTGGTACATGT